ATTATTTCTATCACATGTCAGCATCTGTACTAGTGGCTAGAAACACAGAAACTAACAAATCTGATCCCTGCCCATTAAGGGAAGCAGCTGGATCAACAGATCCTATTACAATATAATACACTAAATACAATGTTATGCTTTAAAGAAATAAAGCCTAGAGCATTTAATTTTTGAAACAGAGTATTTTCTATTTTAAAAGACAATCAATCCTAGTAAAGGCCAAAATGTTAAATTAAAACTTTGAAAACACAAGACTGATCTCATTCCTTTTCAACGACCTCAAAGTTTTGTTACAAACTACAACTGTGGAAACTTTGTATCCACACATATAATATTTCTAAACAATTTCACACTTTTTAAAGAGCCTTTTATACACCTGATCATCATTAAAATTCAAAGAGGTAAGCAAAGCAAATGGTCCCCAGTTTGTAGTAAGTAAAAACAGGCTTCTGGCTGGCCAGGCCTGATGGCTCATGCCTGTAATATCACCACTTTGGGAGGCGGAGGCAGGCAGATCACCTCAGGTCAGGAGTTCAAGACCAGCCTGGCCAACATGTCTTGCTGCCACTGAACTCCAGCTAAGGTAAGTGAACAAGAGTCTGTCTGGAAAAAATAAACAAAGAAACTAAGACTTGTTCCCAAGGCTAACTATAGGTAAATCTAGTATCTGACTCGGGTGATTTAAATCTTTACCATGTGGCCGGGCGTGGTGGCTCACACCTGTAATCCCAGCACTTTGAGAGGCCAACGTGGGTAGATCACAAGGTCAGGAGATCCACTAACACAGTGAGACCCTGTCTCTACTATAGAAAAGATTAGCTGGGCACGGCAGCACGTGCCTGTAGTCCCAGCTACTTGAGAGGCTGAGGCAGGAGAATCACTTGAACTTCAGAGGCAGAAGTTGCAGTGAGCCAAGATTGCCACACTGCACTCCAGCCTGGGTGACAGAGTGAGACTCTGTCTTGAAAAAAAAATCTTTATCATGTTTTTGGAATAGACATATTATTATAGAAATAGAGTAGATACTCAGAATTTCAGGTTACACTAATTCAAGTGCATATAATTTATACACATAACATGATTAATGTTTCAATGGTCATAGACCTAATTTACAAGAAGTATCATTGTTTTCTTACTTATGGGGAAAAATAAATAAATATCAGGTATTTGCAGTTATGGCAATAGAGAATAAGCCCAAATACTAGTAACCTGCACAGAGAAACCAGTGATTGCTATTATCCGTGTCTAAGACAAAAATTAAAGGCAATCAAGGGAGTGACTCCTTCCTAGTTACATATGTCTCTTATTGTCCAGAGACGTAGTATCTTGCATTACACAGTGCTTTATCTCCTCTATCACTCTGGATTCAACTGTAGTATTGAGTTCAACAAAAGTGTATGAAGCACTGACATGGGAACTTACTACGGTGGTTGTGAAGTGGAAATTTTGCCCAGAATTTTGTCAGCACGTAGTCAGCAACGGTCCCTATTTTAAAACTGCCCCTATTTTTGTTAGTAACTGCCTCTTTCTGCTTCTGTACATCAGTTTATTGCTTACTAACTAGAAAACCTTTAGGAGAAACTGCCGCGTTGTCTAAAACCTGCTGCGTTGTCTGAAGTCCTAAGTTAATTCCTGAAGTCCTAAGTTACTTCCCTTGCCCCTTATCTATAAAAACTGTGTGCTATTCTAAGCTGAGGTCCAGACTTTTGGGTGCAAGCCTTCTGGGCCCACCAGTGTAATAAAGTGTGTTCCTCCGATCCTGAGTGCCACTTGGGTTTCTTGTCGGGTTAGATTTTCCAGAACAGTTGTAGGACCATTATATAGGTAAAACAGATTTTTAGTCTGCAGATATTTAACAAGATTTTCATTAAAAGTTCCATTACATTGGCCAGGTGTGGTGGTTCATGCCTGTAATCCCAGAACTTTGGGAAGCTGAGGCGGGCAGATCACGAGGTCAAGAGATTGAGACCAACCTGGCCAACATGGTAAAACACCATCTCTACTAAAATACAAAAATTAGCTGGGCGTGGTGGTGCATGCCTGTAATCCCAGCTACTTGTGAGGCTGAGGCAGGAGAATCGCTTGACCTGGGAGGCGGAGGTTGCAGTGAGCCAAGATTGCACCACTGTACTCCAGCCTGGTGACAGAATGAGACTCTGTCTCAAAAAAAAAATCCATTACATCTTTAAATATAAATACGGATGCCACATTTACAAATAATGAATGGACATTTTTATATATAATACTGAAATGACTCAATATCTAGGAAGAAAATAGTTTAAAAGTATCTTGAACAGTAAACAAAAATTTGAGATCTAGCTTATCCTGGCTTCGATACTTGCTGTGATGATCTAGCAGTCTTTAATGCCTATGGAGCACTGGGTTTTTTCACCTGTAGAGTGTTGCAAAATTTTAAAGATTGACACATATTCCTCTTAAAACAAAATTTTGATCATTCACAATAACAGTTTAGATAGCTTTTTAGAGTATCTGGTTTTGTTTTGTTTTGGAGTTTTTAGTAAGCATACTTTCTGTAAATCAGTCAACACAACAAACAAAAAAGTAATGTGTACTGCCCATCCCCAGAATAGGACTTTACTTACCGCCAGGTGCAACACCTGTAATCACTTTGGGAGGCCAAGCCAGGCAGATCACCTGAAGTCAGAAGTTTGAGACCAGCCTGGCCAACATAGTAAAACCCCATCTCTACCAAAAATACAAAAATTAGCTGGGCGTGGTGGCGGGTACCTGTAATCCCAGCTACTTGGGACGCTGAGGTAGGAGAATCACTTAAACCTGGGAGCAGAGGCTATAGTGAGTCAAGATTGTGCCACTGCACTCCAGTGTGGGTGACAAGAGCAAAACTCCACCTCAAAAAGAAGAAGAGGCTGCGTGCAGTGGCTCAAGCCTGTAATCCCAGCACTTTGGGAGGCCGAGGCGGGTGGATCACGAGGTCAAGAGATCGAGACCATCCTGGTCAACATGGTGAAACCCCGTCTCTACTAAAAATGCAAAAAATTAGCTGGGCATGGTGGCTTGTGCCTGTAATCCTGACTACTCAGGAGGCTGAGGCAGGATAATTGCCTGAACCCAGGAGGCGGAGGTTGCGGTGAGCCGAGATGGCGCCACTGCACTCCAGCCTGGGTAACAACAGTGAAACTCTGTCTCAAAAAAAAAAAAGAAGAAGAAGAAAGAAAAAGAAGAAGAAAGGAAGAAGAAGAAGAGGAAAGAGAAGGAGGAAGAAGAGAAGGAGAAGAGGAAGAAGAAGAGGAGGAGGAAGGAGGAGGAGAAAAGGAAGAAGAAAGAGGAGGAGGAGAAGAACAAGAAGAAGAAAAAGAAAGAAAGGAAGGAAGGAAGAAAAGACGAGGATGATGAAGAAGAAAAATTTTAAAAAGAAAAAAGAAAAGAAACAAAAAATAACAAAGAAGAAGGAAAAAGAAGATAGGCCGGGCACAGTGGCTCATGCCTGTAATCCAAGCACTTTGGAGGCCAAGGCAGGTGGATCACCTGAGGTCAGGAGTTCAAGACCAGCCTGACCAACATGGTGAAACCTCATCTTTAAAAAAATAAAGAGAGAAGAAAAGAAGATTGCTTCTGTGACAACAACTTGAATACTAAAAGTTGGCCCCTGATTCCAATGGTTGAAGGCACCTTAGTAGTTAAACGTCATTCTACAGTTTAACCAGGTAGCTTATTAAAACAGATAACCCAAATAAGCAATAACATGGCATTTGGCTGGCCACCCTTTAAAATCTCTGATGCTTTTCATGAGTGGGAAGACAAGAATAGTATTGAAGTCACTCATTAGAACTATGTTCAACTGATAAGATTCAGAAGAATGACAATGTACTTCTGTATTTATATTTCAAAACCTCATTCCTTGGCTACTACTTGTTAGTAGAGTGGTTATGGTACTAAATCAAGTTTTGGACTGTAAATTCTTAGAAATTATCATTTCAAGTATGTGTTAAATTTCAAGCAACTTTTAAACTGGTTTAACATTCATCCTTAAAGAACAGTTAAAATTGATTGGAAATAAACCAATTTCACCAAACTTTATACATCATACTTGAAATGCAATGAAGACACATTATTAACACAATAATGAAGAAGCAAAGATTTGACCTGTTGTCTGGGAAATTAGAGTGGGCGACCTAGGCTCCTTTTAGCAAAACACTTTTCCAAAAGAAACTTATTTTTATTTAAACAATACTGTCCTGTCTTATACGAAATTATTTTTAGTCTTTTGAAAATCCACTTGCGTGTGTGTGTGTGTGTTTTGGTTTTTTGTTTGTTTGTTTGTTTTGCAGTGCTCAAAAGACAGAAAAAATGGTGTAAGGCTTGCAGCCTGGGGACGTGGACACTCAAGTTCCTGTCTCAGTTCAGCCCAAGCTTTCATTGTGACCTTGGGAAATGTCCCTGGCTAGGGGGACTCGTTTTCCCTCTCTTCTCAATTTTGAGTGCTCGGAGCGTGGGGGTGGGACGGACCCCCAGGCACCGCAGACACAGGGGCTACAGCTCGTCCAGCTTCACGAAAATACCTGGCCCAGCTCCCCGCCTCGGCTCTTCCCATCCACTCAGCCACCGGCTTGCTCGGAGCAGTGAGTTCCCGGTGCCCCCAGCCGAGTACCTTCGGTTCTGCACGGCTCTCCCGCTTTGTGTCTTGGTGCTAGGAAGGGACCTTGCGATCATCCTTCCATCCGCCGAGAAACGCTCCGCCTACCCTTCGTTCTCGATCGGGTCTTTCCCGTTTCGGAGAACCCCTCACACTGCTGCCCCCGAGAGACCCCCGCCGTGGCTCAGAATGGGGATCCCTCTCCTTCCCTTCCCTCAGGAGACCTCCCCTTCACACAGCCTCCGCCTCTGGAGGAGCCCTCAATTCACGCAACCCCATTCTTCCTCAAACTCTCAGGGATTGCCACCCGGTTGCCTTCTGCGGAGCCGCAAAGGACCCTCAGCCTCCCCCACCTCCGCCATCGGATTCTGGGGACCCCTCTCACCTCCGCGGTGAGAGATGTGTTTACCGAGGAATCGCTGCTTCTTTCTCTGGTGCAGCAAGGTCGGGTATTTAAGCAACAAGAATGAGGTCACCAAGTACCCTCCTAGCGTAGAGAGAAGATAAAAAGCCGCAGTGGACGACATCTCAGTCACCATGTGGGAAGTCTCCCACGTCTGGGCCCTCTGAGCTCCGCTGCGGCAGTAGCAACGACGGCGGCGGTGGCGGCGGCTGCTTGAGGTCGGCTCGCCCCCAGCCGGTGCCAATGGTGCAGCGCACTTGTCGGTGCCGGCCTAATGCGCATGCGCAACCGGACCCCCTCCCCAGCCACAAAAGGGCTCCGACGCGCAGGCGCGCTTGGGTTCCTGAGTAGGATCCTGCAAAGATCTTCGAGTGACCGTTTGTCACCTACGTTTTTGGACGGATCTGCACGAAGAGAAAGCTTGCAAACCTGCCCGTGTGTTGGCCACTACTCAGGCAGAAAAGACTATTCAGGATAGCCTTCAGGGAAGTCTGACCTCATTGGAAAAGCCACATCAAAAAGGAAAGATTCCAGGGCGCGTCTTAGCCCCTACTCTAGGAAATGCAAATAATTGTTACCTATGGAGGCAATAAAGCTTGCTAAAACACTAAATAAACTCCTCCGTTTATCTAGCCTAGAGAGAATTTACCCTATGGTCACATCTACTAGAAAAGGTACTGGTTTACCAGTCAAATATCTGAGAGATCAGCCCTTCGCCTCCCTCATTTCATTGTGAAAGTGCAATCTTGATTCTTTGTACACAATAGGCACTGCAGAAGTATTTGTTGACTTCCCAGTCCATATAAAATAAGGAAACTGCCAAGTCTGTAAAATATTACCTAAAACTCCTAGAAAGACAGATAACTAAGTACCAGAAGGCTCTACTAGTTTCCTATCACCCCACAAATTACAAACTGCTAGCCGGGCTCCGGTGGCTCATGCCTTTAATCTCAGCACTTTGAGAGGCCGAGGCGGGTGGATCACAATGTCAGAAGTTCAAGACCAGACTGGCCAAGATGGTGAAACCCCGTCTCTACTAAAAATACAAAAATTAGCTGGGCAGGGTGGCAGGCGCCTGTAATCCCAGCTACTCGGAAGGCTGAGGCAGGAGAATCACTTGGTGTGGGCGGATGTTGCAGTGAGCTGAGATGGCGCCATTGCACTCCACAGCCTGGGCGGCAGTGAGACTCCGTCCCAAAAATAAATAAATAAAAACAAACTTCTAACACATGAAGAGCTACACTTCAATGCAAAAGAAATAAATCACCCAGGACAGAGGGAGAGATTTTACGGAGAAAACCACGTCTCCCACAGGACTAGAAAAGCAGAGTGAGTATTTAAAATCCTGTGATTCAGCCGGGCTCGGTGGCTCACGCCTGTAATCCCAGGACTTTGGGAGACCGGAAAGGGTGGATCGCTTGAGCCCAGCAGTTGGAGGCCAATCTGGGCAACATGGCAAAACCCCATCTCTACAAAAAATACAACAAAATTAGCCCAGCATGGTGGCGTGCACCTGTAGTCACCGCTACTTGGGAGGCTGAGGTGGGAGTATTGCTTGAGCCTGGAAGATCGAGGCTGCAGTGAGCTCTGATTGCACCACTGCATTACAGCCTGGGTGACAGAGCAAGACCCTATCTCAACTAAAAAAAAAAGAAAGTTAGGAGAAAACGGCGTGGCCGGGCGCAGTGGCTCAAGCCTGTAATCCCAGCACTTTGGGAGATTGAGGTGAGCAGATCATTTGAGGTTGAAGTGAGCCTTCTTGGTGCCACTGCACTTCAGCCTGGTCAACAGAGCAACATTTTGAGGAAACTCACAGATTGAAAAATCATGTCCTCTGTTGGGCTGTCAAACTATTTCCTGTAGATCAGCTGACGGACACAGTTCTGTTTCTATTTTTCAAAGTATCACCTGATGGCAATGGAAGGGTATAGAAAAAAACACTGTGGCATAAAAATTATTTTGAGGCTGGGCACAGTGGCTCACACCTGTAAACCCAGCACTTTGGGAGGCCAAGGCAGGCAGATCACCTGAGGTCAGGAGTTTGAGACCAGCCTGGCCAAGTTGATGAAACCCCGTTGCTACTAAAAATACAAAAATTAGCTGAGCATGGTGGCACATGCGTGTAGTCCCAGCTACTAGGGAGGTTGAGGCAGGAGAATGGCTTGAACTCAGGAGATGGAGGTTGCAGTGAGCCGAGATTTCACCATTCCACTCCAGCCTAGGCAACAGAGCAAGTCTCTGTCTAAAAAAAAAAAAATTTTTTTTGGAAATTATTTTAAGTTCCTGGAATCCTTTATCTGCCTAAAATCAAAGGCTCCCAAAAGAACCCAACTGTCATAAACCTCCTCCCTGGGAACAACACTAATCGTGTCAGAGATGGGAGAGAGACGTTGTTACAAAAGTATTTCTCCCATGTATACTCCTAAGGACATATTTATCTTTACAAAAAGTCTTTTTTTCCAAAAAGTGCTTTCTCCCCAGCTTCTAAGAAGTCATTTGTTCTTCTGGAAGTGCCCCTCTACTCCTTCCCACCCAGTATATTTTAGGTGATATATAAATTGCAAATTATAACTGCTTTCTTCATTTCTTTCTTTTTTTTTTTTTTTTTTTTGAGACAGAGTCTCATTCTGTGGCCCAGGCTGGAGTTCAATGGCTCTGTCTTGGCTCACTGCAACCTCTGCCTCCAACGGGGTTCAAGCGATTCTCCTGCCTCAGCCTCCCGAATAGCTGGGGCTACAGGGGCGCACCAGTGCACCTAGCTAATTCTGTATTTTTAGTAGAGATGGGGTTTCATCATGTTGGCCAGGCTGATCTCAAACTCCTGACCCCAAGTAATCAGCCCACCTCAGCCTCCCAAAGTGCTGGGATTACAGGCTCATCCTTACATTTTCTCAGAAGACAGAACAACAGGAAAAGTATGGCTTCAAAATCAGAGTTCTGAATTTGTTGTTTTTAGTTATTATTTTATATAATTTTCTTTTAATAAAATCGAGAGAAGAAAGAGGAGCAATTATCTATTTAAAACTATAGTGATGACCACGTGTGGTGGCTCACACCTGTAGTCCCAGCACTTTGGGAGGCTGAGGTGGGTGGATCACCTGAAGTCAGGAGTTCGAGACCAGCCTGACCAATATGGTGAAACCCCGCCTCTACGAAAATTACACAAATTAGCTGGGCCTGTAGTCCAGCTACTCAGGAGGCTGATGCAGGAGAACCACTTGAACCTGGGAGGCAGAGGTTGCAGTGAGCTGAGATAGTGCCACTTCATTCCAGCCTGGGTGACAGAGTAAGACTGTCTCAAAAAACAAAAAAACCTATGGTGATATAGTGATATTAATCTTTTTTTTTTAGATTCAAGGGGTATGCAGGTTTATTACGTGGGTATATTGCATAGGGATGAGAAATGGGCTTCTAGCATACACATTACCCAAATACTGCAGAGTTCTGAATTTAAATTCTGACTATGCCACTCCCTAGCTTTGTGACCTTGGACAAATTGTTTAACTACTCCAACCCTTCATTTCCTTATCTATAAAATAGGGATAATTTTTATTTTGCAATATTTTGAGGATTAGAGATAATGCATATAAAATGCTTAGTCGGCTGAGCATGGTGGCTCACGCCTGTAATCCAAGCACTTTGGGAGGCCAAGGCAGGTGGATCACCTGAGGTCAGGAGTTCAAGACCAGCCTAACCAACATGGTGAAACCCCGTCTTAATAAAATAAATAAATAAATAAATAATGCTTAGTAAATTACATATATGGATATTCACGAAACTGCTACTACTATTGTGTGCCATTCAATAAGAGTAACTATTGTTATTTTTTTATGAATCGGGCTTCCCTAGTAAAAGAAAACCCAACTTTAAGTAAATAAACATATGAAATCCTTTCTATAAACCAGAGGCTGGGCACTGTGGATCACACCTGTAATCCCAGCATTTCAGGAAGCTGAAGCAGGAGGATGGCTTGAGCCCAGGAGTTTGATTGAGACCAGCCTGGGCAACATAGAGAGAACTTGTCTCTATACAAAATCAAAATAGGCCAGTCACTGTGGCTCATGCCTGGAATCCTGGCACTTTGGGAAGTCAAGGAGGGTGGATCACCTGAGGTCAGGAGTTCAAGACCAGCCTGGCCAACATGGTGAAACCCCATCTCTGATAAAAATATAAAAATTAGCTGGGCATGGTGGCATGTGCCCAGGAGGCTGAGGCAGGAGAATCACTGGAACCTGGGAGGTAGAGGTTACAGTGAGCTGAGATCACACCACTGCACTCCAGCCTGGGAGACAGAGAAAAGCTCTGTCTCTGAAAAAAAAAAAGAAGGATGTGATATAAGAATGAAGACTAATTTTCTTTTTTATTTTTTTTAAGATAGGGTTTCACCATGATGGCCAGGCTGGTCTTGAACTCCTGACCTCAGGTGATCCACCCACCTCGGCCTCCCAAAGTGCTAGGATTACAGGTGTGAGCCACCATGCCCGGCCCTAATTATAAGGCCTTTTTTTTTTTTTGTAGAGATGGGGTTTCACCATGTTGACCAGGATGGTCTCGATCTCTTGACCTGGTGATCCACCTGCCTTGGCCTCCCAAAGTGCTGGGATTATAGGTGTGAGCCACCACACCCGGCCTAATTTTCTTTTATAAAAATTTTTTTAAATATATTTTTAAAAATAGAGATGAGGTTTCACTATGTTGCCCAAGCTGGTCTCCAACTCCTGAACTCAAATGGTCTTCCTGCCTTGGCCTCCCAAAGTGCTAGGATTACAGGTGTGAGCCACCATATTTTCATACTGGCTCACATATCTCCTTTTCCTAATCAAATACAATAGATATAAAAATACATCAAATTAAATTACAATTCTAAATTGGCTGCCAGTTACATGTTTCTCTGTATGTGTGTATATATATATATATATATATATTTTTTTTTTTTTTTCTTTTGCAGACGGAGTTTCACTCTTGTTACTAGGCTGGAGTGCAATGGCGTGATCTCAGCTCACCGCAACCTCTGCCTCCTGGGTTCAAGCAATTCTCCTGCCTCAGCCTCCCGAGTAGCTGGGACTACAGGCGCGCCACCATGCCCAGCTACTTTTTGTATTTTTAGTAGAGACGGGGTTTCACCTTGTTGACCAGGATGGTCTCGATCTCTTGACGTCGTGATCCACCTACCTCGGCCTCCCAAAGTGCTGGGATTATAGGCGGAGCCACCGCGCCCGGCCATATGTTTTGTTTTTTGAGACGGAGTCTCACTGTCACCCAGGCTGGATCTCAGCTCACTGCAACCTCTGCCTCCTGGAATCAAACGATTCTCCTGCCTCAGCCTCAGCCTCAGCCTCCTGAGTGGCTGGGTCACAGGTGCCCACCATTTTTTGTTTTTTTGAGATGGAGACTCTCTGCTGCCCAGGCTGAAGAGCAGTGGCGCCATCTCGGCTCACTGCAACCTCCGCCTCCCAGGTTCAAGCAATTCTCCTTCCTCAGCCTCCCAAGTAGCTGAGACTATAGGCATGTGCCACCAAGCCCAGCTAATTTTTAATTTTTTTTTTTTTGAGATGGAGTCTCACACTGTTACCAGGCCGGAGTGCAGTGGTGCCATCTCGACTCACTGCAGCCTCTGCCACTGGGTTCAAGTGATTCTCCTGCCTCAGCCTCCCGAGTAGCTGGGACTACAGGTGTGCACTACCACACCCAGCTAATTTTTGCATTTTTGGTAGAGACGGGGTTTCACCATGTTGGCCAAGATGGTC